GACATTTTCTCTGGAGAACCAGCCACCTTTGAACTCACAAGTCTGTCTGCTTCTGTTTCCTGAAAACTGGGATTAAAGGCTTACACAAGCAAACCCAGTTTTGATTCTCCTCTCATAGGGAGAAATAGATCCCACTGTGTTCCAATAGACCAAGTTCCAGGTCCTTTCCAGTAAGGCCTTTGATCCAGCTTCTTCAAGAAACTATGCTTCCTGATCCTGTCATAAGAATAGGAAGCTACGTTAGCGTCACACCTACAACAAGCAAGCACTAGAATTGAAGACCGAGAGTTTAGATTTTCGTTGCTCAAGTACAGGATCGTGAACTAGGTTGTGGCTGGCAGTATTAGAAGTGAGTTATTGGCAGCTGATGGTTGCTTCAGAAGAGTCAGCTCTCTTCAGAGACATGGCTCCTGACAGGCTGGCCATCTCCAGTAGGTGGCCCTATATCCATGCTCCTGTGGGCAGCCCTGAGTAGCCGGGTGAGTTTGAATAAAAGCGCATAGAGTTGGGAGGAAAAAGTGAGGGGTAGGGGCAGGGGCGGGGTAGGTGGGAAATTGTAGGAGGGGACACAGAGACGATTTGATTAAAGCAGATTATGTGATTGTATGGGATTTTTAAAATTAAAAAGTTAGATTCCCAGCCCTTCCTATCCTTGGGCCTCAGAAAAATATCTTCTATGTTTTATTGTGCTTTTCATAAATGAAGAGCTTGGCAGGCAAGCTCTTTCTGGCTCAAAGCTCAGTGCAAAAGGCCAGGTGACAGGCTTCAGAAGTCTGTCCACGTGACTGGCCTTCAGGGATGAGTACATACTGTGATTTATATCATTTGTTTTTTATAGCTTTTTAGAACAGAGATGTACAAGAGGAAAGAGACAAAATATTTATGAGTGTTTTAATTTATGACAGTTTGATGTTCTGGAAAATATTATAGAATTTATATATGGATATAATGAAATATTCTCTGTTCTATATATGCCTTATCCAGATGTATAGGATAATATATTCCAAGTCAGTTGACCTTTCCCAAATTTGGCATATCTAAGCTTATGTTTATGTTCAGATGCTCTACCAAATATGTTTGTTGCTATGCACACACATGCATGATGGAAGAACAGAAACAGATTTTTTTTTTTGCCTTCACTTCAGATTATATGCTTGTGGCAGTGTTTTGTGCTTGGAAATCTTTGTATTTGTTAAAACTTGGAATTGCATGTTAAGTTTCTTGGTACATATTACCAAATGTCACTTCAGAATATTTGTGCACTTTATAAAATACTTTATTTGTCTTGTTGCTTACACTACTTCATCCATGTCATCAATGTTTTGAAAACATCTGACATTGCTGTTTTTATATCTATACATGTACATCTGTAGATATGTATGTTGTCTATACATATCTATACATGTAGATCTACTTTGTTAGACCGGTTTATGTATAATGTCTCTGGCATTTTATGTAGTTTTTTTAATGATTGGTGACCATATTTCTGCTGAGGAGCTGGGTTTTCACTTTTTGTAAATGCTTAGGCTATTCTCTGTTTAAATCATATTTATGGTATACGGTATTAGGGTCTCAACTTTATTTATTTACAGATAAGTTTGTTTTTTGTGCAGTCTGATTTACTGAGTGTCTGTCTCAAGAGATTTTAGGTTCCTTTCAGTTGACGAGGCTCAAATCACTCTAAACACTAATTCATTTCTATATTGCAATTTTAAGAGAATTTTATACATTTGTCCTGGGACGTAGCTTTTAGACTTTATTGAGCTGCCTTAATTAATAATAACAAATTGAATGTTTTTATATGACTGATTTATTTTTGGAAAATTGCCAATGATAATATATAAATCTGCTGTAGCTAGAGTTCATCAAAAGTAAGTTTTTCATATATTGAATACAGAAGTGAATGTTTACTTGAAATTCTTTCAAAATATGAAACAGGTGTTTACTAACTTGAAAATACAAGGTTGGTCATCATTTGCATAGAAAATGTCTTAGGATATTTGGTGTATTTAGAGTTTAAAAAAGCATTAGAATGGAAGGCTGTTGAATAGATAGAATTAAATGTGAGCCATCCCTTGGGCTGCTGTAGATGATATGTTTTAAGATTCACTGTTTGACAAGTTGACACAGGAGTTAACTTGTCATTACTTGTTTTACCCCTCACTAGTTCACAGGCAGACAGCTAACCCAGTGTGTGGATTTCGTCTGACTAGAAGGAAATTCAGAGTTTGAGATACAGTTAGTGACAGGGTTATACTGGTCTTAAAGGATGACTGCTACATTTTGGGTTTGTATCACTTGCTACTGGAATACTCATCCATTGGGTTTTCAAGGGTTTTATGTTATATTGGCAACTAAATTATGAAGTAAAAATCTATTTAAATAAAAATCAGAAAAAGTTGTTACTATATTTATCTATATATATTATAAATTTATTATATATATTTTTTTTCTGAGTTAAGAAAAGCAGGATTTTAACTAGGAGCACATATGCAAGGGCTTGCTGTTTCTGAAAATAATGTGCTTTGATATTTCATGTAGACACACACTCAGAGGTAGGACGCTTTGGATGATATAAAATAAATGGAAAAGCTACAGCATTGCAGAACTATTGGACCATTTGTCAGAATTCCTCAAAGAGAAAATTATAAAATCTGTGGGTCTGGGCAGTTGTGGTAGAGTGGAAAATAAAAGCAATAGATGAAGGTGTCAGAAAGCAAGAGCCAAAGATTAAAAGCACAAATGTTAGTAAAAAGTTCCAACAACTTCAGCATTGTATTAGAGTGCTGTCGTTGGCTTTGTCTTCCAGGAAGAGCACTGCAAGGAGAGAAAAAAAAAAAAAATAGGAAAGGATAGTAGATTTTCTTTCTTTTTTTTTTAAGTCACTGTCAGTGTTGTTCAGCAATGTGAAAGATTTCATTCCTCCTCACTGACTCCCTCAAGACTTCATCAGCTTGTTCTTCTGTTACTGTTGCTGAATCCAAAGTATCCAGCTCATATCTGAAAAACAAGACTGAGCAGTGCTCTGAGCAGAGGTTCTCAACCTTTGTAACACTGTGACCCATTGATATAGTTCCTCAGGTTGTGGTGGACCCCAGTCCTAAAATTATTCTTATTGCTACTTCACAACTGCAGTTTTGCTACTGTTGTGAATTGTAATGTAAATATCTGATTCACAGAAGTGTGATCTGTGATCCTATCAAGAAGGGTCAGGGTTACAGCCCACTGCTTTTTGGTAACAACTGCTTTTGGGTAAATGTACTTGGGGTGTATTAGTATTTAATGTTTTAAATTTTGTAGTGAAGATAACATTTTTCCAAATGTTATATGGAATGTTTACTGGTTTATGAAAACATATACCAGCAAATAGAGGAAACAGGCCTTGGGCAGAGACCAAAGTACTTTTCTTGCTTGTCAGCGCAAAGTTTGGCATCTGACCAGTAAGTTGCACAGGAACAGCAGATGGTAGAAGGATAGGAAAAAGCAACTGTTGATTAAGGGGGGAACCCGTGGTCCATAGTGTGGGGGTTATCAGAGAGCACCTGGGAGGCCCACCTGGGTTTAGTCATTGGACAGGAGTGGGCTTCATGTGGCCAAAGATGAGATGTTACAAGGTTGCAGTGGAAAACTCAGGCCAAGTCAGAAAGACCCTTCATTTAGAAAACCAAAGCATTGAAAACATGACAATTACCCAGAGCTAGTGTCATTAGCCTCATCTTGTTGAAATAATACTCTGGTAACAGTAAGGAATAGAACCCTGAAAGAGGACATCAAAAAATAATTCTGTCAGGGGTTTTCATGACCTCAAAAGAGAAGAGGAAACTTCTGAAGTATCATAGACGACTAATAGACAAAGTGAGTGTTTCAGATTATAGAAATCAAAAAATATGAAACTTGTATGGAAGTGATTGGGAGGAAATATGAAGTAGAGTAATGAATTCTGAACTTCAGAAGAGTCATTTTGGAGTAGGGTAAGTTGAGACTTAGAGTTCCCAGGACAGTTGGTTATGACAACAGTGAAAACTTGCAGATTTCTGCCCCAGGGTTGGAGGGCTCCAAATGCAGTGCTTCTTGGCAGCATGCTTTTGGGCATAAATAGAATATCTGCAGGGTGCTCAGTTGTGTGCTGGTACCATCAGTTTCCAAGCGTGAAGCAGAGAGCTCCTCAAAGCCGTAACAGGAAGCATAGTGCAGCTATGTCTCAAGTTTGGAAGACCTGTTTACAGTCCCGCCTTGTATTTACTTCTGACTTCCTAGAGCCTCCTCTTGCTATGTAATTGCTGCCAGCTGGGAACACCCTGTTTAGCTTATCTTGAATTTGTGATCCTCCTGCCCGCCCCCTTCCTCTCCCAAGAGCTGGGGCTACAGACATGAGCCTCCAGATCTAGCTTTACAATTGCCCTTGATTTTAGCAAGGTCGCTCACTGAGGCCCGTCGTAGCCTGGCAATCATCTGATCTGGAATTAGGAGTCACTAGAATGTGTGGAGATGATGAAAACATTACCCTAATGACAGGACAGTGGGCCATTCCTAGTCTATAGAGTCAGTGAGGAGGTGAGATTGGGGGTAGATATGACTGATCTCAAAGAATGGAAATAGGAAAAGAAAAGGCAAGTCACATTTGTTTTCTTTCTTCTCATTTCTTAAACGCAATGAAATCAACAATTATAAAATATTTTTTCTTAGCCAGGGACATTTTTGAAGGCACTGGTGATGTTTGCCACAGTTATTTAAAGATGGAACTGGAGAGCTAGGGAATTGGAAGAGAAAGACTGTAGAGCTTCCTCTGTGCTATGTGACCTTAACCGAGACCAGAGGGACAGAGAGAAACCTGGTGGGGTGGAAAGTAAAGGAAAAGTTTTTGTTTTGTTTTGTTTGTTTGTTTGTTTTTTTAATGTATGAGATATGATCATATATATGTAGATTTTAGGGTGATCTATGTTGAAAATAATTTTAGGAAAAGAAAAATTATAATATGAAGTGCTTTTTGAACTTGACAGAACGCTGTACATCCATGGGCATACCAAGTTGGATTTCACAGTCTGGCATACTGCAATTGAAAAAGCAGCAGGTACAGATGGTAACGCATTACAAGATCAGCAGCTCTGCAAAAACGACGTCCCCATCATTGTGAACAGCTGCATAGCATTTGTTACACAGTATGGTAAGTCTCACAGAGTGTTTGTTCAACTCCTAGAATGCGGGGTATCATTCTTACAGCTTTTAAGTGGTACCTCCATTGGAACGAATACGCCTTTCCCTTTGTAAGGACACCAGTGAAAACTGAAAACTCGGTCACTGCTCAGTTGTCCCCATTCCTTCTCCAGCAACACTCCTGACACTGGTAAAACTTCCCCACTATCACCTTGGTCCATCCTGTCCATGAAAATGCTATGTGACCCATTAAATAAAATAGTTAAAAATGTACACAAAATGGTATTTATTACCATTTATTACAGTTCATTCAATTTGTATCCCAGGTGACCCCTTCCTCATCCCCTCCAAATCCCACCTCTGCTCCCTCTTCTACCCCTATGCCCCGATAGGAGAGTCCACTGATAGGGGAGGTCCTCCTCTCCTTCTGTTTGACCCTAGCTTATCAGGTCTCATCAGGACTGGCGGCATTATCTTCCTCTGTGGCCTGGCAAGGCTATTCCCGCGTAGGGGTAGGTGGTTAGAAAGCCTGTCACTGAGTTCATGCTAGAAAAAGCCCCTGGTTGCCTTATTATGGACCCCACTAGAGTCTATTGGCTACATCTGAACCTGGGTTTTATGTCCTCTCCATGCATTGTCCTTGGTTGGGGTATCAGTCTCTGCAGGGGCACCAGGGCTCAGGGTCTTTTTGGCTCTGTTGGTCACCTTTTGGAGCTCCTTTCCCCTCCAGGTCTTTCTGTCTCTCCCTTCTTTTCATAAGACTCCCTGTACGGATGTGGCCCGTGGTAGCTCAGTAACCAAGTAGTTTTCCAAAGTAAGGGGAACAAGGACTATTTCTAACAGGATCTCAAGGGCAGGCTCTTTGACCTCCCCCACCCCAGGGGAGGAGCAGTCCTGTTAGGCCACAGAGGAGGACTTTGCAGCCAGCCTTGAAGATACCTGATAAAACAGGGTCAAATGAAAGGGGACCTCTCAGTGGACTTGGAAAGGGGCAGGGAGGAGACCAGGGAGGGAGTTGGGGAGGGGGAGGGAATGAGGGAGCGGGATACAGCTGGGACACAGAGTTAACAAATTGTAACTAAAAAGAAAAATAAAAATTAAAAAAAAAAAAAAAGACTCCCTGTACAGGAAATTTGCAGGCAGATGGTGGGAACTAGAAAAGATCATCTTGAGTGAGGTAATCCAGAAGCAGAAAGACACGCTTGGGTATAAACTCACTTATAAGTGGATACTAGACATAATATAGGATAAACATACTAAAATCTATGTTCCTAAAGAAAGCTGAACAAGGAGGAAACTAGGGAAGATGCTCAGTCCTCATGAGAAGGACAAATATGATAGACATTGGAAGCAGGAGAAGAGAGGGAGGAGGGAAGAAGGTGGCCTGAAAGACTGTACTGAGGAAGTATTAAAGCAGAGGCTGAGACTCACAGACAAACTTTGGCCAGAGTGTAAGGACTATTTTTAATATTAAAAGTTCTAGAACAAAGCAAAGAGGAGCTCACCACGCATAAGTATGATTTTTAGAAATAGTGAGCATGGGATAATATACAAAATCATGTACTTTCTGTTAGCAAGCACAAGATATGTGTATGTTTAGTACATTCATAAGGCTATTGGGCAGAAGTGTATATCACATAATTTTATGTGATTGGGTTGGTTTTCAAAATTTACCTGGAAAATAACCTTTATCTTCATACGTATTTTCAGATTATTGGGAACCCTCAATTACCTTTTAGTCCCATACATCAGTCATATTTCTAAAAGATAGAAAGTATTTAATTTCTATGGTTCTGGGTTCACATCCAGGACCTTATGCACGTTAGGCTAGTGCTCTACTGCTTTCATGTGTATATACATAAACATATGTATATGTATATATAATGTATATAATTTATATATGTATGTGTATATACTTATACTCAGACTTGCATTTTGAATATAATGTATTTCCATCTTTCAAATGATGGAAAATCCCATTTATGTAAGAAAAAATGTGGAAAGGAATAAAACAATAGATCTAGTAATTCTGAAGTATTAACTTTCTAATTATCTTAATGTTATAGGTGTTTGGGATGTTTTAAGTTGAGAAGAGGACATAAGTAGTGAGAAAGACATAGTAAAATATTGTGTTGTTACGAAACAAGCAGAGTGGGCAGCTCACCTGGATCACCTATGCTATATATGAAGCTGACGAAGTGATAGATGATGTTGTGTTAGAAATAAGCACTCTGATAGAACATCATTTTCAGAGGTTAGATTTGCAATATGTGCACTTAAGCTCTTTTGGTAAGACAGTCGTGTTAAGCATTTTGCGTCAATTGTAGTCCAAGTATGCTTTTTTTCATTCTTTATTGTCTGTGCTGCATGCATACTGAGACTTTTCACATAACTGTATATGCAGGCCTTGCTATAGGGATTTCTCTGCCACCGTGGTGCATGTAAATGTTTCTTATCACCTATAGTCCTGTTTGAGTACTGGAAATGGTGTCTTCATGTTCTGTGCTCATCCACGTTAGCGTGGCTGCATTTCACAGGGTTACGTGAGAGTGCACAAGGTGTTAGGAAGGGCATAAACTCACAGGGAACGTTCACTTTATCTTAGTTTCATGGTGGCCCAGCATCTTTCTAAGCTGACAGATAACTAAAATAACCTGGGTAGTTCCGGTGAAACCAATTGAATGTTTCTTTGGGAAGATCAGAAGTTTCCCTGTGGTGTTTCTTTGAATTTAGGATTATTAAGAAGTAGATTGTTTCAACTGTATCTCATATATATGTGTGTGTTATTTATTTATCCCAATCTCAGCTTCTCCTCCATTCTCTCCTCCTAGTCCCTTCATCTGCCATCCCCTACCCTCCATCCACCTTTTTCCCATCTATCCCCAGAAAAGGGGAGGCCTTACATGGCCATCAACCAACTCCCATATATGAAGTCACTGTAAGACTGGGCTCATCCTCTTCCACTGTGGCTAGACAGGGCAGCCCAGTTAGGGGAGAGGGATCCAAAGGCCGCAGTCAGGGACAGCTCCTGCTTAGGAGTCCCACGTGAAGGCCTAGCTGCACACTTGCTACATGTGTGCGGAGGACCTACGTCTGTCCAGCGCCTTCTCCGTCTGGTGGGTCAGTCTCTGTGGGTCCCTATGGACACGGGTTATTTGACTGTAGGTGTCCTTACCCCTCTGTCTCCCTCGATCCTCTCTTCCCCTCTTCCACAGTACTCTCCAAGCTCCACTCAGTGTTTGGCTGTGGGTCTCTACATCAGCTTCCAACAGTTACTGGGTGAAGACACACTGACAGCATTTATGCCAGGCTCCTGTCTGCCAGGTATAGATGGCCAGTTCAGCCACCGCATCCCCCACTGCTGGGAGTTGTATCTAGGATCACCCTCACAGATTCCCAGGAGTTTCCATTCCTAGCTCATCCTTCCTGTTCCTGTCCACACACCATGCCCCATCCAGTCCCCTTCTTCCATTCTCCCCACACCCCGAGTCCTTGCCTCCATGTTTAATCCATTTCTCCTGCTCAGTGAGATTGCACCGTAGCCCCTTGGTCCCCCCTTGTTACTTAGCTTCTTTGGATCTGTGATTGTAGCCTGGTTGGCCTGTACTTTATGACTAGTATCCACTTATAAGTTGATCCAGCTATACCACTCCTAGACATATATCCAAAAGATGCTCAAATACACAAGGACATTTGTTCAACCATGTTCGTAGCAGCTTTATTTGTAATAGCCAGAAGCTAGAAACAACCCAGATGCCCCTCAACTGAGGAATGGATATAGAAATTGAGGCACATTTTCACAATGGAATACTACTCAGCAATTAAAACCCAGATAATCATGAAATTTTCAGGCAAATGTTGGGAAATAGAAAAGATCATCTTGAGTGAGGTAACCCTGAAGCAGAAAGACACACATGGTATATACTCACTCATAAGTGGTTATTAGACATGTAATAAAGGATAAATATACTAAAATCTATACACCTAAAGCAGCTAAGCAAGAAGGAGGACCCTGGGTAAGATGCTTAATTCTCATTCAGAAAGACAAACAAGATAGACATCAGAAGAGGAAGAAAACAGGAAACAGGACAAGATCCTACCACAGAGGGCCTCTACCCAGCAGGGTATCCAAGCAGATGTTGATACTCATAGTCAAACTTTGGGCAAAATGCATGGGATCTTATGAAAGAAGGGGAGATAGAAAGACCTAAAGGGAATAGGAGCTCCACAAGGAGAGCAACAGCACCAAAAAATCTTGGCACAGGGGTCTTTTCTGAGACTGATACTCCAACCAAGGACCATGCATGGAGATAACCTAGAACCCCTGCAATGTTGTAGCCCATGGCAGCTCAGTATCCAAGAGAGTTCCCTAATAATGGGAACAGGGACTGTCTCTGACATGAGCTCAGTGGCTAGCTCTTTGATCACCTCCCCCTGAAGGGGGAGCAGCCTTATCAGGCCACAGAAGAAGACAATGCAACCAGTCCTGATGAGACTTGGTAGTCTAGGGTCAGATGGAAGGGGAGGAGGACCTTCCCTGACAGTGTACTTGGGGAGGGGCATGGGAACAGAAGAGGGAGAGAGGGTGGGATTTGGAGGAGTTGAGGGAGGGGGCTGCAGCGGGGATACAAAGTGAATAAATTGCAATAAATAAAAAGTAAAATTAAAAAAAGAAAAATAAATAAAAACACTGGTCATATTCATCCTATCTGGGACAATAACATAGGATGATTTTTTTTTTCCTGCAAAGCTTTCCATTGGGCCAAAACGGGTCTGCACTGTGGCTCAGTTTCTTTCTGTGTTAATCCTACCTGTCCCTATCTCTCATAAAGATTTATCTCCAACAAATATCTAATAAAAATACTGCATGAAAAATATAAAAAAAAATAGTAAAAATGGTCATCCTACCAAAAGCTCTACTGATTCAATGCAATACCCATCGAAATTCCAATAACTTGTATGTTAGAACTTTATAAATAATGGAAAGTATATTAACTTCTGAATTAAAGTAAAAAAAAAACAATAAAAGATTATATCTTTTGCAGAATATGGGATAAAACCTTTATGTTATACTCACTAACATAAAGATTTGACAGAAACTTGGAGTACTGCACAGAACTCAAATATATGCCTCAATATCCATAGTAGCAATTACTTTAAATATTATAGATTTGGATTAACATATAAAGGGCAGTTCTTTGAGCTCTTCATGTTAACTGTTTGAACTTTACCAAGTTCAAAATGTATCACGGATTTAATCTTTTAATTAAACATAATAGTTAATTCTTGAAGGAATTGTTTTCAATTTTTATAAAGTATATTCAATACTTTTAAACGTGTGTGTGTGTGTGTGTGTGTGTACACGCCACAGCATGTGTGTGTAGGCCAGAGGTTAGTTTGCAAGATTCAGCTCTCTTCTGCCTTGTGGTTCCTTGGGATCCAATCTAAGGTTGCAACCTGGGGAGCAAGAAGGTTTGCTCACTGTGACTTCTTGCCAGCTCTGTTTTCACAATTTCATGCAGTCTGCTAAAGTTGTTCAATTACTAGATATTAGAAAAACCCTCAGTGAGGAATCCTGTCTCCCAGGCACGTAGTTGAAATTACTTTGTAAAAAGTCATTCACCAAATGCCTTTTCAGTTCTCCCATGTACTGTTCCTGACAGTTGTAGAAAAAAAAAGACTTAACTCATGGCTCCTTGGCTTTGAGGGGCTTAGACCTTTATGGTAGGGAAGCAAGCACATTGGGCAGGAAGTTAGATCTTAGCCAGTAAGATTCTGTGATGAGGAGATGAAAAAGTACATACCCAAATTTTATATTGTCATTGCCAAGTAGGTAAGCTTGTTTTCTGAGAACATGGGGAAATCTCTCTCGAGGTAAAATTACCTTTCAAATGATAATATGAAGAACTGGATGTCGGCTGAGTATGGTTTGTTCATCAGTTTCACATTTAAAATGGAGGGTGCAAGGCCTTTAGCCTAATGTCTGATGATTACTGTGTGCATCATACCTCAGAAGAACCTTTCTGCTCCTAGGATATCAAAGGATATTATGACTAGGACGCTTCTTTATATGACTTTCTAAATTTTTATCACAGGGTTAGGATGCAAATACATTTATCAAAAGAATGGCGATCCTTTGCGTGTAAGTGAACTCCGGGAGAGTTTCAGAAAGGACGCGAGGAGTGTTAAGCTACGAGCTGGAAAACATCAGCTTGAAGACGTGACGGGCGTGCTGAAGCAGTTCTTGTCTGACATTGGGGATGCGCTTCTCACGAAGGAGCTCTATCCGTACTGGGTCTCCGCGTTAGGTAATGCCCTTGGGTCAGCACCTCACGCCTGCCTTCTAACTTTTCTTTTAAATCTCTTGTCATCTGGAAAGTACTGGAAAGCGCTTCTTTCTCTTGTCATTCACCTCAACTCTTACTAATATAACTGAAAAAAAAATTATTCGTTTTCTGGGGATTCCACTTAATAAGGTAAAGTTGTGTTACATCACATGGACTTTACGACATAAACCTGTTAATAGGTCAATGCTTTATTAAGGTCTCTAATGGGTTATGTTACTTTTATTAAACATTGTTTTCATACAGTAACTAAACCAGCTCCTTTGCTGAAGCATTCCAACGATAAGAACATCTTAATATTTGTTTACTTTTTTTACATTTTAATAGTACATTTGATATTTTTACCTTTCATTATTTTATTGCTTTTATTCCACACTTATAAGAAGTATATTTTTTATTTTTTTAGTAAACTACTAACATTTCTCATATGTCTAAAGTGTTCTCATAATTTCTATTTTCAATCTTTGTATTTCCAGTTTTTAACTTTTAGATTTTTATATATTGTAATAATAATTATGACTTTTATATGTCATAATTACTATCATCATAATAAATATATTTCTTATATAATAATCTGTTTTGAAAAGTGGAAATTCAGCTATCATGTACAATCTTAAACTAAAATAATATTTTTGATGGTATTAATTTTGAAATTATATCACAAAATAATCGCAGTTTTAAAAAGTTTTCCTAAAATCCTTTAATAATATTGCAAGAGAGAATAAAATTGTCACAAAAAAATTGTAGTGTTTCATAATTCAGAAGTTCATCTATGGCTTGCTTCCAAACATTTCTCTAATCAAGAGGATTAACTGTAATCCCAAGGAGAGATGTCAGTATAATTTTCCAGGTTGTAAACTATTTCGTTAGATAATATGTCTCCATGAGGCCAGTTTTCTTGCAGTTCTCATTTTAAAGATAGTTTTAGCAGGAGTAACTGTGAAATTATAATAGATGTAATTTTTGAAAAAATAAATTTTGTCTTCATGTAAAATTATTCATCAAAAACTAGACAGCCAATAAGTGTTTGCTAAAAATGTGAGTGAAGACAAATCTTCCCTGTAGTCAGCTGACCCAGAAGAGGCCCTTGGCAAGTGCTAAGCCTATTCCAGAAAGTAGTTTTTGTCTTTGACCTGGGGATGAGGTATTTGAGAATTTTTTTCTTGGAGACATCTCTTAGAAGATCTTTTGTTTGTAGAGCCAATATGTCTCAGGCATTCCTGCATGCCTACTGCTGGACCTCACCCTAAGCTATGATTTTGGGTGACTCATAGGAGAACTTCCAGTGTCTGTCTCAATCAAAGCTAAGAATCCGTGTAGTAAATTAGGTGTGATAGTGGACCACTAACTCTTGGACTGAGAAAGAAGAGGCAGGCAGGTCTCTGTGAGTTTGAAGCCAGCCTGGTCTATAAAGAGAGTTCAAGGACAGCCCGGGCTGTTACACATAAAAACCCTGTCTTGAACATCCCACTCCCAAAAAGAAGATAAAAACTTGATTTTTCCATGCAGTGCTGGCTAATGCCTTTCAATCCAGCATACTGGAGGCAGAGGCAGGTGGATCTCTGACTGCAAGAACAGTTGGGTCTACAGAGTGAAATCCAGAACAGCGGTGACCACACTGAGAAACCTGTCTTAAAACACAGCAAACAAAATAACAACGAATTCTTTCAGTGGCATGCCAGTTACTTATAGACTAAGCGAATGTTCTAAGAACGCTATTGAATTATCTGAATTCTTTTTTATACTTAATTATTTGTTTTATTTTCATGATTTTTATTTACTTATGCAATAAAACTATTGGCCCAAAATTGGTAAATTAAAATATTGTATTTTACATGTGCAGTCCAGGCGAAAACAGTATAAAAATTGTAGTTTTAATCACATTTTTAATGTGCATTTTATCTTGATTTCAACATCAGGATCATCAAGATCGTCTGACACTTCCCTAGCATTCTGTCGCCTCATAATCATGAGGGCTGACGTTGTCTGCCTGGACTCAGCACTGCCCAAGGATTACAGTCTCAAGGTTTCCCTACTACTGTGTTGACAAATGATTTAGACAAAGTGTTTGGATCAAATTCTTTTCCCTTCCCTAAATTCTTCCAGGTCCTCCCACCTCTCTACCCACCCAACATTTTGTATTCTCTCTTTGGTTCTCTCTCTCTCAAAAAAGAAAAAAGCAAAACCCACAACATAACTGAACACAAAGGAACTTGCAGAGCCTGCCATAGCATGAGTAAGACATGCACAGGTGTAAGCTATGGTATATTTACACAATGAAATACTACTCAGCTATTAAAAACAAGGAAATCATGAAAACTACGGGCAAATGGATGGAACTAGACAGCATCCTGAGTGAGGTAACCCAGAAGCAGAAAGACATGCATGGTGTACACTCACTTATAAGTAGGGATTAGCTGGATAATATAGGATAACTATCTACAGACTAAAGAAGCTAAACAACAAGGAGAACCCTAGGGAGGATGCTGATTCAGAATGGCAAACAGGATAGATACCAGAAGAGGTGGAAGAGAGGGAACAGGATGGGAGTCTACTATAGAGGGTTCTCTGAAAGGCTTCACCCAACAGGGGATTGAAGCAGTTGCTGAGAGACTCAGCCAAACCTTGGGCAGAGTTCAGCATAGCTTATGGAAGAAGGGTAGGATAGAAGGACACAAAGAGGACTGGAGCCCCACAATGAGACCAGCAAAGCTGAAAAATCTGAGCCCATGGGGTCCTGCAGAAATTGATGCACCAGCCAAGGACCAGGCATGGAGAGGACCTAGACGCCTGTGACTCCGTGTGGGTTCCCGAGTGAGGGAAGCAGGGGCTGCCTGCGTCGCAAACACGGTTGACTGCTCTTTGGTCACCTCAGAACAGCTGCTGAGACTCACAGCCAAACACTGGTCAGTGCACAGGCAGTCTTGGAGAACAGTAGGAGGAAAGAGAAAAGGACCCAGAAGTGACAGGAGCTGCAAAAGCAAAATAACAGCCAACTAACCAGGGCCCGGAGAGGTTTGCTGAGACTGACGCATCAACCAAGGACCGTGCATGAACTGCACTTAGACCCCCTACAAAGACGTAACAGATGGGCAACTGAGGCTTTGTGGGGCCTGCATGGGACACAACTTGCTATCTTTTAGATGACTCTCCCCTGGTGTGACTTCCTTGCCAGGCCACAAAAGAAGATACATTTGGGCCTGATGCGACTTACTTGATGAGCTGGGGTGGATGGGAAAGGAAGCTTCCCTTTTCTGAGAAAAAAAAAAAAAAAAAAAAAAAAAAGAAGTGAGGAGGGAGAGAAGGTGGGACTGGGATGGGAGGAAGGAAGGGGCTACAAAGATGTAAAGAGAATAAAATAAGCAGATGAGAAAAATAAAGCTGCTAAAGAGAAGGAAAAGAAAGGGAATGTTTGGAATGTCCCTGGTTTTTCTTGAGGAATGCCCAGGTAGCTAAACAGCAAATGAAAACTTGTAGCTTCCCGTAGTCACTGCGGAGTGAATCTGAACAGACGCAAAGTCGGCAGAAGTTGCTGCGCTGAGGAATGGCTGGTGTTTCCAGTGCTAATAGACTGGACCACACTGCCAGTCCACTTCACCCCAACTCTGTCTACAGTGTGCAGAGTGCCCAGTTCTCAGTCACAGCAAGGTTTGTCCTCTGGAGTTACAGCAAGGTTTGTCTTTTGATGGACCCATTAAATTATTTTCATGACAGAGGCCAAAGGCCCATTATCTTCTAAATCTGAATCATGGTATCAAGACCTGTACATCACCTTTTCCACATTGCTCTATTTCTTCGTCTGAGATTTGAAGGCAGCCAGATTGAAGGCTGGCAATAGGCCCTTTATATAAATCAAAGGAACAGTGCAGTTCATAGATCTAGGGTGTCTCATAACTTTGGAAAGATATTTAAGATTTCATAAGGAAAGGGGGTCAGAATCTCATTTTCAAATACAAAAGATATAGCCCTTCTGTAACTAGATGTAATACACCTTTTGGCTTATCTTTTCAATGTGTACTAAAATTTGGAGAATTTGTTGAATGTTTTCCTGTTAAGATGTAAAAGTCCATAAAATGGGCTATATAGAAAACCCTTTTGCCCTCCCATGTTGAAAGTGCTGAATTTTAAATTACAAATTATAAGGACTAGAATATATGACTGTGTAGGCTTGTGTAAACAGGTTTGATTTTTCAGAATAACAGTCAATTGTGTTAAAAGTTTGAGTAGTTTCCTCTTGAAACTTGACTATATCACTTATATACATATAACTATTGAATAATATTGAAAGATAAATTTACAGTATGAATGATTAGTTTAAATGCAAAGAATTCTCTCCCTAGATATACAAGATGAAAAGGGAAGAACTGAAAAATACAGAGCATTTATACGCACTCTTCCGGTGGTCAACAGAGTCACACTGGCAGCTATAATTGAACATCTTTACAGGTGGGTGGACTCCTGAAATTTCTGGGCATGTTTAAACTGCAAATAATGGCATTATTTTTAAATTTAAAGTTGTGTAGGTGACCTCCCATGTCTCACTGTAAACCCTTCACATCTTAAGAGCTGTTGCTTTACCCTACACTTTTGTAATTAAGTATACTTAACAGTTGAATATGTTAGGGGTGTTTTTAAATAAATAGGAAATACTTGGCATGCAGCAGCACACCGCATTCAGTTAATAATCAAGAGACTGAAATCTTTTGAGTATGAAATTGGAAAAGGAATGATTTTCTTATTATACACTATAAATATAGCTACTATTACACAGGCTTGTTTTTTTTTCCTATAATATATGGGGACAGATGTTTAAATAGGAAATTTTATAGCGTGATGCATAGAACCATAGAGGAGAGATCAAGTGACTGAATTCTGAAGACCCTTGTTCTGTAGCAGGGAGATGTCTCAGGATACAGTGTTTTAATTTGTGAATTTTATAAACTTATGGTATAGATTTTTTTAAAATAAAAGTAGCTGATTTAAAAATGACTTAGAAATATTCCACAATGTACGTCTCTGGCAGCCAAACACAATAATTATTACTATAAAAATGTTTTTTTGGTTTTTTTTTTTTTTTTGGTTTAGCATTTTGTCTACCTTCATTTTTGTTTTTGTTTTGTCTTTGGAATTTGTTCTCTTTGGTGGTCAGGATTGTAAATGTTAAGCATGACTCCATGGTGGGGTATAGCCCCATCCGATAAAACATGTATTCACATTGCTTCATACAGATACATATGTGGTATTCTAGGAAAAATTAATATAAAATTTTAGAATTATAAAATGAAGGAGTCAATATGTGCTGAGGTCCGAGGAAAGTCTGCAGTTCCGGGAAAGAGACTTATGAACTGGATTTCTAGCAAAGATGTATACAAGGTGGTCACAGCTGCTCAGGAAGTTGTAAAGAATTGCTTGAGCCCAGGAGTTCAGGAACATCACGAGGGAGCTTGTCTAAAGGAGCAAGGAAGCAAGAGACTGAAGAAAAACCCAGTCCATGGGTGGAGTTGTCTCCTGAGACGTATGAGTACCGGGTGATGAGAACATTTATAGCTGCCTGGCAAGAGGTTGTGAAAGCCTTTGTAGTCATGTGTGGGCATTTGGATTATGAGAAATGACTACATCTGGCTTAGCATTGTAGCTCTTGCAAAGGAAACACTTGAGAAGAGATAGGCGAACCTAATTAGCAAACACTTCCTTGGACTCTGATGAGAAGGTCAGAGTAAGACTATCGGAACTCTCCTTATGAAATACTGGGGAATAGCAATATCTGGATAGCAAAAAGAAAAAAATTCTGCAGTGTACATTTTTTGTTGTTTTTTTGTTTGTTTGTTTGTTTGTTTGTTCGTTTGTTTTCTGGAAATGGAGGCTCTCAGAGAAACTAAAAGTATTGAGAGCTAAGGAGGTCCATGGAGGGATGGTTTTACTCAGTCAGTCTCAAGAAATTCAGGAATTGGGTAATGCCATCAAAAGTGTGAGTCACCGTGGAGGCCATTAGAGTAATACAGCTTTTAATTCACTACCTCACCTGGATGACGACTCATTTCTGCCGTCGGTAACAGCCACTTAATTCCACTCAGCTTGTACTCATTGTGCACGATGGTATGATGAAAGCAAGAGTCTCTGGCTGAGATCCGAGTAACAGGCGGACACACAGATAATTTCTGTAGATGTTTACAGTCTAGTGAGCTACGAGTGCAGCAGTGGTTTGGAGGAGGGCTTGCGTTGTTGCTTTCTCATAAACTGTGTACAGTGATTGCAGTTTCTTTATCTAACCTCTGCTTTGCAACTTTGCTCTCTACTATGACATTGTCAAATATTTTACTATCATGCTTACTCCCTGTTGCAAAGCATCTTTAAGAGTCTATACTCAGGAAAAGTTTGTTGTCTCTTGGGGTGTGTGTGTATGTGTGTGTTTCCACTATAATTAAGTCGAGTCAAGCAACAGCTCTATATTCAATTAGTGAAACTCAACGAGATCTCAACAGAGATCGTAAACAGGCATGTGAACTTGTATTCAAACTTCTCTATGGACATTTTTGTACCTGTACCCAGCCTCCTCATGGGGATGCCTTGTTTTGAAGCACGTTTAACTCGTATGGGTGAATATGTCAGGTGCTCTTTACAGTGCCCAAAGGCGATAGCTTATTGATAAGGAGAATTAGTTACTTGTCAATATCTGTTCATTTTATGAAGGCATTCCTGGGGTTGAAGAGTAGCTCAGCAGGGAGGATCACTTATGATCATACAGAGCGCTGAGGTTCATTCCATTGTCAGCATACGATATGGCATCAAAACATAATCCGTAGCTCCATTTCCTGGAGATTCAGTTCCTCTTCTGTTCTACCTGGACATTACACACACACAATGGTGTACATACACACTTGTAGGCAAAACACCCACAAAATGAAATAAAACACATTAATAAATGATAAAATACAGGTATTCTTAACTAAGCTAAGTATGACTTCATTTTTTAATTATACATTTGCTTTTTTGAGATGTACTGATATCCCACTTGATTAAAACCTGTTATGAAAGGACTTACGTCCTGTACAACCGCTGAACTTTGATTTGTCAAAGGGAAAGTAGTTGTCTCATCAAGTCTGGCTTAGTATAGCAGCCGCCCTGATGAGACTGGCTGGCTAGTGACAGATAAGCAACTAGGAAACCGCCATTGGCTTTGGTGAAGGAGTGTGTGCATTGTAGAGGGCGCACTTTGTCGAAAGTGTAGCCTTGCGTGTCACCTGAAATCCCTCATGAGTGGTCAGACGAGCTCTGTAAGGACTGTACCCTCTTGACTTACTGCCCTCCCTCTTCCATGTGTGGTGTAGCCACATGCACTGTTTCAAGCCAGGACTTCTGCACTGGGCATAGGTTGTTCACTGGCTGCCACTGTTTGCATATTCTCAGTCTCTGAGTGTCAGGCATTGCTTCTTTCAACAGTAACTTTTCTTCTGTTCTTAACTACACTATAAGTCTCCACTTCTTTAAATCTCTACTTAAATTTTGTTTTGGAGAGCTTCATACTCTGTGTATATGTTTAAAATTATAACAGTATTTTAATTTATATTTCTATGAAATTCTTGAATACAAGTATGTCATAATGAGAAATACTTTCCCTTAACAGGGTTCAGAAATGCTCAGAAATCAATCAGATGAATGCCCATAACTTGGCGTTGGTCTTTTCATCCTGCTTATTTCAAACTAAGGGACAGACTAGTGAAGAAGTCAATGTAATTGAAGATCTAATCAATAATTATGTGGAAATATTTGAGGTAAGAATTTTATGTCCTCTATTTGTTTCAGTGACTAATAAGCCTTGCACCTTGCAAAATGCAGTGATTATTTCAGAATGTTACTCAGGTCCATGTGGATATTTAAAAATAGGGACTTTAAAAGATAGTTAAATTTGAAGTTTTTAGATATAATTGCCTTTTAAAAGAGTAACCATTTATTTAAATGAAGCAGCAGCTTTTAAATATTTTCACCATCTGTTGTCTGTTGGACAGCCTGCTATTTACAGGATTGTGTGTGTTTTCTCCTCACTGTGTATATGCATTCAGTATGTCTACCAAGAGGTGTGAATTTATGAATTTAACAAAATCACCGATCAACAAAAGCCTGTTAAATGCTGCAATTGAATTTACTCTTGAGGTTTTTTTTTTTTTTACTGTGCTTGAATTGGAGGAGAATTATGAAGCATTGTCTTATGGCTTTTACTAAGTCCTTATTTGTGTCTATTTTTCAGTTTGCAGTTCTCTGAAGTGAGTATGTTTTATTAGTATACTATTAGAATACCAATGTTTTTATAGTTTAAAGAAAATAAAATAAGGCTAGGCTTTGGTGGTTCTGGGAAAAAAAGTCCCTTCCATTATGTAAACGACTTTCACACCACCTCTTTGGTCTAGGCCATTCAAAGCTCGCTTAGGTGATAGTTACTTGGGTTCTGTGGGTACAGATGTGTGAAACCAAATGAGTTGGTATTGCAGTTTAATAATCTTGAGATTTTTTTTTATTCTCGTTATAATTAATCACAGGATTCCTTAGTACAGGAAAATAAATGATTTAATCAACATAACAGTTTGTAATTTAATTTCTAGGAGAGTCCATACCAGAACTGCCTTTTCATTGCTCTTTGGTCTCTTCCTCATTTCTTCCTGTATTTCTGGGTTTGTTTGTTTTTTTGTTTTGTTTTTGATCAACAGTAGCTTCTTTGAAATGATCTGATGCTGAGATAAACAAAAGTAAATGTGGCTTTACATGCTCTCTTTATTATGTTAACATAGCTAAATGGTTACCTTCATGGTTTGGTTGAACTTACATTTTTATTAAACGTTTAATAAGCCCTTTAGGGAATATTTGGGTTTGAGTGACCTGTCTTGTTTCTCACCTGCAAGCACTTTTGTCCATGGGAACTTGTGCTTGTAAAGCTCGATGGTTTTCTGTGAGTAAACTCTGCAATCTGAAGGGATATCATCAAAGCATATTCTGAGCCCTACTAGGCTCTGTCCAGCTGGCTTCTTGCTGCCCTCCTTGGGGGCTCCTGTGATCAAGATGATGCTAACTGTAGCCATCCTGGTCTATTTGCAGTTTGTTGTTATTTACATTTCTGAGGATTGAGGTGAGAAAGAGCATCCTTGCTCTGTGTGCACTACATTATTAGAATATTCCAAATTATATTTTAAACAGGTTAAAGAAGACCAAGTCAGACAAATGGACATAGAAAATAGCTTTATAACCAAGTGGAAGGACACCCAAGTGAGTAGTAAGAGTTAGTCTCTAAGGACCTAAAAACAAAACCTCTGTGGATACATGTGTTATGTGTGTTCAGATCTCTATTCAGAGCAAAGTAAAAGAGACTGATGAAGGAATGGGGCAACGGAAACTTGATGCATACGTGCAGAACATGTTAATATAACATGTTAATATTAAGTAACCAATGGTTAATATTTATTGAAAACAAAACACTATTGGCTATGCCAGTGGTTTTCAAAGGAAGCATTTAAAGCCAAAGAAATACCATAATAAATTGCAAAATCACATAGCATAATGATTTTATCCCTTATCCATAGAGAATTATAAATGATTTCTTGAATGCTTCCACTCTGCATGCTCTCCAGTGAGTGTAATGAGACCATTTCTACTAACTTTTATCTACAGTCTGTTTTTCTAAATCCCACCTTGCTTTCCTGGGAACATTACACTGGCTTTCTCTGTTTAGGATGCACCATGCCTCTCCAGGGTTTATTACTTTGTTTGATGAATTTACTGGAACAACTTAAGGTTGATCATTAATCATCTTCTGGAAACCAGGAATGATAATGGATTCCGGGCTTCACTGTAAATAATAGAAATGGGTCAAATGTACTCCGTTCAAAATTACACTCAGATAATGAGGCAAATTCCTGCTTATTAGTGAGACCCAAAGTTTGCTTCAGTCCTGAAATGTCTGCTTCCAATTAAGGGAATCATTACAGCTCTCCTTCTACACGAAGCAGATGAACGCATGCTTAGATTCTCCTCAGACTAATACTGTGATATTAATTACTTAACAAATGAGTCCCTCCATTTTGACCAAAAGTAATTAATGCAGCTTTCAGAGGAGTTAACTTTAACTAAACTAAAAATAATCTGGCTTATTATCAGTGCTTATAATTCTCAGTTGATATGGATGTTATTCAGTCCTGAAATGAATGATTGTGAGCCTGAGAGGAATCTTTGGCAGTCTAATCTGTCATTATGGGCTGAGTACCGGCTTATATTTTACAACAAGGAATTGAGTCTAGGACACTAGACTCACATGTAAGACAATTACATGTTATATAATAATTGAGAAAGGCAGTAAGAGTAATGTAGGAACTTTAGTTCTTTCTGCTTGAATCTTGCTTCAGTCTGTTTAAAGCTCTGTTTTGCAATGTTACTTTACGCTGTTTTAATTCCTTAGCTTACTTTATTGCTTGGCTCACCCTGTGTGTTCTGCACATTTGCCTTTTATGATTGTTGAAATGTTTTGTTCTTGATGTGATGTTTATACAAACAGTGAAAAGCAAAAAAGCCGGCTTTATCTTTCTCCTTAGAAATTGTATATAGAATCAAAACTGAGAAAAAAGCATTAGAAATAAGCTTTTCTGTGTGTATAGTGACAAAATAAGTACTTCTTGAAAGTACATTTTAAATATTTCTCATTAGATTTACTCATTAAATTTTTAAATAGGGGAAATTTAACTTGAGAGTGATTATATCGCAAAATATTTTAAAATATTAGTGGTCGATAGATGTTTTAAGTAGAGTAGATGTCTAAAATAGATAGATAGATAGATAGATAGATAGATAGATAGATAGATAGATAGATACATACATACATACATACATACATACATACATAAATACATACATACATACATAGGGCTAATATTCAGAATATATAAAGAACTAAAGAAGTTAAAAAGCAACAAATCAAATAATCCAATTAAAAATGGGGTACAGAGCCAAACAGAATTTTCTGTAGAGGAATATTGAGTGGCAGAGAAACACTTAAAGAAATGCGCAACGTCCTTAGTCATCAGGGAAATGCAAATCAAAATGACCCTGAGATTTCACCTTACATCAGAATACCTAAAATCAAAAACTCAAATGACAATATATGCTGGAGAGGATGTGGAGAAAGGGGAACCCCCCTCCATTATTGGTGGGAATATAAACTTGTACAACCACTTTGGAAATCAATCTGGCATCTTCTCAAACAATTGGAAATAGTGCTACCTCAAGAACCAGCTATACCACTCCTAGGCATATATCCAAAATATGCTCAAGTACACAACAAGGGCATTTGTTCATTTATGTTCATAGCAGCTTTATTTGTAATAGCCAGAGTCTGGAAACAACCCAGATGTCCCTCAGTGGAGGAATGGATACAGAAATTGTGGTACATTTACACAGTGGAATACTACTCAGAAATATAAACAAAGAAATCACAAAATTTTCAGGCAGATGGTGGGAACTAGAAAAGATCATCCTGATGAGGAATCCCAGAAGCAGCAAGACACATATGGTATATACTCACTTATAAGTGGATATTAGACATATAATATAGGATAAACATACTAAAATCTGTACACCTAAAGAAGCTAAGCAAGAAGGAGGATCATGGGTGTGATGATCAATCCTTACTCAGAAAAGGAAATGGGATGGAAATTGAAAGAGGGAGAAAACAGGAAACAGGACAGGAGCCTACCACAGAGGGCCTCTGAAAGACTCCACCTAGCAGGGTATCAAAGCAGATAATCTGATTCTTTAGCCTCCACTTTATTCTCTTGCTCTGTACTGTGCTGTCTTGTTCGTTTTCTTTTTACTTTATAGTTTTTAACTTAAACTTTGGCATGTAATGGCTCAAATAAGCATTCCTAAATGCTTTAGGAAGAATAATTCAAACTAATGCTTATCTTGTTTGCCTACCTTATTCTGTTATTTTACTCTTACTGTCCTTGCTAAGTTACCTTCCTGTTTATAACTTTAATTCAGCTCTGATGTGACTTACCTCTCCCAATTTCAGTATTTGAATGTGGCAGCTGCATGAAAATTTAACGAGGCTTATTTTGTCTTTCAAGATTATGTACAGATGGATTAAGAGCCTTATGTATTCAGTGGTTCTTAAACTCTCATTGACAATGGAGCCTTCTTCCATTCTAGAGTCACTGCATCAGTGTTTGAAGACACTAAGGCCTTGAGTGTGGCATGAAAAAACAATCATACTGGGATTGCTTTTGCTATCAGTACTGTTTGTTTAGAGTCTAAACTTTGGGCTCTCTTTGTGTTGTACTTACCTGTGCTGTCTTCACACCTGCCTTTTCTAGGTGTCCCAGGCTGGGGACCTGCTCATTGAAGTGTATGTGGAAAGGAAGGAACCTGACTGTAGTATTATAATTCGGGTGAGTGCTGCTGTTGGAATCCTAAGAGCCGGTTTTCGCTGACATGTTTTTCTAGCCTGTTTTATAGTTTAAGCTCTCCTCAGTTCAAACAGTGACTGAGAGCAATATTGACTTCCCCTCGACGTATCTTCTAGGAATCTAGTAGTTTAGTTGTTTGGAAGAGAACATCGTCTTATATTAGTTAAGATTGCTCTACAGATCCTAGAAAGTGAACTGAGAGCCAATATTGCTTCTCCTTTTCATGAAATTGTAACATGAAGCAAGTTATTTGCCCGCTTTCTCCTCCATTTTCTTACCTAAAAATGACTTTCTAATTAAAATTTATGTAAACACAGAGCAAATTATTTTCCAAACATCTGTTTCATAAGTAGCTATTATTATTAATAGTAGTGGTAACACCCCGTCTCGTTTCTTACACCCCAACATTTAAACTTAATTATTAGGTAACTCTTTCTTTGAGGTGAGTTACAAATAGATATTTTTCATATTATAGAATTTAATGATTGGTCTTCTTTAAGTATAGCAGCAGTGCTATTTCATAATCTTGCTTGGTAAGATGATTTTTCTGTGTAAGGAGTACACATTTGTCTGTGTAAAAGAAATTCGCTGTATTAGCTGTTTTAAACTCTTCATGATGTTAAATAGATTGTGACTGTTCGCTTAGGCAGTTCCAGTTATTATGTATTGTGACTGTATGCCATTAGCCTTGATGAGGATGTGGAGCTGGAACATAGTCACGGCTTCTGTGATCAGATCTTAGGAGAGGCATTTTCTATTAATTCGTCACATCACACATGTTATTCTGACTGTGTGGCTGTGGTCCTAGAGGATCCGAGAAGGTTTTACGATTCAAGTTACAGATTGAATCACTCAACAAAAGTCTAGTGTTGATGCTAGAAGATACAGAATACATGATTTAACTTTGTATGTATGCATATAAGAAGATACTTATATATTTTAAAGTATATTTTATGGACTACATATGCATATACGTATTCTTTTAAAGCTTGTTTTGATTTTGTCTTTCTAATGAATTTGTACTAATTATTACAGTTTGGCAAAGTTTTCATATTTTCTCACTATATTTAAATAAGAGACTGTCTAACTTCAGATGACCTTGAAAAGCCAAACAGCAGTAACAAACTCTTCAGCAGTAGTCAGTACCATGTGCATATAGCTTTAAGACTGAAAAACCATCATGTTTTTCATCCCCTGGAGGAAGGGGATAGACCAAGTTTGAGGAAAGGGAAACTGATGATTAAAAGACATTAATGGCCCAGCACAAACCTGGATCATCATAACCCCAAACAGATATTCACTGCACTGCTGTTTGCATTCCACAAGTTAATGCTTTCCTGAGTGTGGAGTTCAAGGCACTGCCTGTTACCTGTTTTACATATTTCATTTCTCACTTGCTTGTAGCTCTTTTGAACAATGCTATACCTTTTTTTTTTTTTTTTTAAGAGAATCTTTCCAGGTCAGGAGAAATGGCTCAGCAGTGAAGAGCAATGGCTGCCCTTCTTTAAGACCCAAGTTTGATTCCCAGAAACCACATGGTGGCTCACACCATCTGTACATCCAGTTCTAGGGAATCTGAATCTTTCTTCTTGTCTCAGCTGATATCAGGCATGGATGTGGTGCACAAACATACATAGAGGGGAAACATGCAAATACATGATAAAATTAATTTAAAAAATTTACAGCAATGCAGATTTGAGGCATCACAGAGTCTCTCACCTGCTGTTCCCACTGCTTCCTGTTTTCATGCTCTCCGTGCTGTTACCAGCTGGGATCCTTTGTAGGCTTGCAGTTCTTCAAGTTTCTCTAAATAAAAAAGGATTAAGTTAGGCTATTCCGTGGCTAAAATCATGCAAACCTAAGTTACAGCTGTGATGTTCTAATTGTTAATATGCTGTTTAACATTATCAGTGAATTCTAGCTAAAGAAAAACCTCTTGTGTTTTAATAATATGCAATCAAAATTGTCAAGTTCTAAGCGAAAAAGAAACCCCAGAGTCCCTGAAAAGGTGGCATGCTGAGACAATGGCCACTGGCTTTGAGACACTTGTAGGTCGGAGCCCCAGAGTGGCACTGCAGAATCAACTGAATCTGGAAACAGTAGCTTGAATGTGCTCTGTATGTTGGTATGCCACCATCTGTCACTTGGCGTGGCAGGGAACACCACAGACACCAAAACCCTGGGGCTTCTTGGCATGACAGATATTATCTAATCATCTTTCTGTTACTTAGAGTTCAGGCTGAACAAAGTAACTCTAAACTCTTGATTAGAAAGAGACAAGTGGAAAGTTTTGCTGTGAGAGAATTATCAGACTTGTCTGGTAAGGATTTGGGGTTAGATTGTTTTTTGTTGTTGTTTTTATTTGTTTGTTTTATTTATTTATTCATTCACTTTACATCCCAATTGTAGCCTCCTCCTCTCCTCTCCTCCTGGATCCACTCCACCCCTCTTCCCTCTTTTCCCCTCCCCCACTCCTCTGAAAAGGGGAGCCCCCTCACCAGTCCACAAAAGCCAGTACAGTTGTATCACTGCCTGCATCCTCTTCCCATGTGGCCTAGCGAAGCAACGCTGCCAGGGGGAAGTGATCAAAAAGCAGGTTACAGAGTCCATGTCGGAGACAAACCCGCATGGAGCCCAAGCTGTGCATCAGCTACATCTGTGTAGAGGGCCTATATCTGTCTAGTCCATGCATGGTCCTAGGATGGTGCTTCAGTCTTAGCATACCCTGGGCTCTGGTTAGTCTCTGTTGGTCTTGTGGACTTCCTATCCCCTCCCTTCTATCTTCTTCCCCTTTATTTGAGCCTAGGTGCATCTCTTACGAGTGACCTAATTGCTTACTAATGGTACAAAATGGTTCTCCCCAAAGTGTCTATATTACAGTATCTCTTTACCTTGACATTACAGTGTATTTTGTGGAGAAAATCTCATTGTGATGTTTTCTTTGTGCTTGAAGCATCATGAGATAGGGAACCTTATCGTCCTAGCACTGCCTACTTCTGTGTCAGACACTGAAAATATATTCCTTCTCTTCCAGATCTCTCCTATGATGGAAGCTGAAGAGTTAACCAATGATATATTAGCAATAAAAAATATTGTTCCTACAAAAGGTGATATTTGGGCCACATTTGAAGTCATTGAAAATGAAGAGCTAGGTGAGTGGCTTTCATGCTAGAGATTCTTAAATTCCTTATACATGAAAGACACTTTGTGACAAGCCTTTACTAACATTTGCTGTTTTCCTAAAGATCCTCCTCTCATTATGAATTCCGTTGTATCTCTGTGCCCATCTTGACATATGTTATCACCACTTGAGGTTGACTTCCTATGATGTTGCTCATCAGAATAATTAATTCTTTCATTAGCTATATAAATGTAGTATAAAGTGTTAGGTGTCTCTGTTGCTGCCTCATCAAATAATGTTTTTGTTCATAAGGACAAACAGTTTGACTTATACCAATATCCTAAATGTCACCTTCCCATCATCTTATTCTTGTGTGCTCTTATTTAGTAAGAACAGAGGATGCATATTAAAAGATTATGGCCCACAAATCAATAAGTTTAGGTATAGCATAAATTTTGCTTTTGGCAGCTTGATTTTCTTCTATCATCAACGAATCACCTTGTCATCTTTTCCCCCAAAGAAACTGAAGAATAAAGAGACCTTTTAAAACACCTTGACTACTCTGCTTGGCAAATGCTGAATAAACTTAACATTCTAATGACAACGTTTGGTTTTAAAGACCTCCAGGAAAAAAAACTAAGATGCAGAATTTCACTGTACCTTGACCATCTGTCTAGCTGATACCTACTAAGGTCTTGGGACCCTTTCAAGTATAGCTGTCAAACTGCCAAAAGGAAAACCTTGCCACCCACAAGCTCAGGCTAAAATTAAAATTCAATGTTAGACTACCCCAGGGTGCATTATTTGGAATATTAAAGTCGGCATTAGAATGGAAGGGATTATTATGCACTCCTTCATCACTCCATCTTGGTATTTTTACTCATTTGCTTTTCTACATGCATTAATTCTTTAAAAATTAATGAGACACAATATGATATTGTCAGTATGTCTTATCAAACTACTGAATCCCTAGTGCTTGGGTGTCAGTGCTCAGTATCTCCTTGCAGTGCCCCTGGACAGACCTGCTCTGACAAGTGACTCTGTGACCCCCCACCTGGGAAACTCAGCAGACCTGCTTTCAGCTTCACTCTCCCTGGTGTTCTGTGCCATCGATTGCTAGTGACCTTTCTTTTCTCCTGTGGCGATCTCCGGCTATTCTCAGCACTGCGTCTCTGTTCTTGATTAGACAGTCCTTCTAGCAAATGTATACTTTCTCTTCTGTCCATTGTTAAGTATTGTGTCTGACCTTATGATTTTCCTTTTGTTATCTTCTCTGTTTTTAATGTATTATTTAGAATATCATAAATTCTTTGTGTTTGATTAGCACTGGGGGATGATATTTTTCTTGTATACCTTTGTATGTGCCCACTGCAGACCCCACCTGCCCCTGGTCCTTTAAATTCTAGACCCAGAATGTCTCTGCCATGACCTGGACTGGTGCTCATACTACGTGGCTTAATAAAAGTTGTTGGTAGAAGTTGGAAATATATCTTCTGTTTAGTTTGGTTTTGCCTCAAGTTTCCAAAACAATACAACATAAACAATAGCTGTAAAGTTAAATTTTTACTAAATAAAGCATAGTATATATGTTAATAGGTTCTAGATTCTTTTGATTTTTTTTTTCTTGAAGAAATGGGTTTGATTTTCATCCTCATCATATTTGCGGGTAAAAGATATCTATTGACAGTATTGCCAAAATCTTGTTCCATCTTTAAAATCGTCTCTTCATTGCTTCCTCTATCCCTAATTAGTCCATCATCTTGGCCTTGAGCAAAATTTCAAGACATGGATAAAATATGGACATGTTCTCTGCCAAGATGAAACACTGTCTATTGTAGTTGTCAACAGGGTCCTCGTTTCTGTACTGAGCTCACAGTCCTAACCTTTATTATCTACATGTATCTGCAGTCTAGTCTTCTGTGGTAGAGACCAGAAAGTCTATTAATTTCTGCTTATTCCAAGCTAGATTGCTATTATGCTTCTTCAAACATTTCCAAACTCCTCCCAAAGATCCATCTCACAGACTTCTGACCCATATGCCTGTGACCCATGCCCTCTGTTGATTTTCTCTTCCTCAGTTCCTGTCATTGTAACAGATATCTGTGATGAACCATCTGAGAAGAGAGTTCTTCTGTCTTACCACTCAAATGATTCTGTGTGTGTGTGTGTGTGGTTGACCTTTGGTCCTGGGGCAAAACATTTGGGTGGGTTGAGAAGCGCAAGGAGGGCTTCTTATCATTTGATAGGGAGGAAGCAACGAAACAAAGTCAGGGTCCCAATCTGCCCTTCAGGGGCATGCGCAAGTGACCCAGCATCCTTCCCTTACAGAACGCTTGACATGGGTTCCATCACATCCCAAGAGCACCATGAGCCTTGACCAAATCTTCTCCAACACATGGCCTCAGAATTCAAGCTGCAGCAAAGATGGGCGTTGGCGTACTATTTAAAAAACACTTATTAATGTTTCTTATATCTTCTCCCTATTCCACCCAAGTCTGTTCCAACACCTCAACATCAGGCAGGAGAGAGAAAGGGTTAGTGGGAGAGGGGGCACAGTTCTTTCTTAGCTGCTTCCTGCTGGTCAGGGTCATTGGGTTCCTTGGAGCCAGTCCCTTCCTCATTTCAGGAGATCTCCATCTTCTTGTCTCATAACAGCATCCAGTAGCAGCAAGGAGAAAGCAGGAACAGCCTTGTTCTTTCTCCTCGCTCCACTCTCTGGGCTGTGGCATTTATCCTCTCTACACAGTGCTCAGATTCAAACTGTCTGCAGCTGGCAAAGAGCCTCTCTCTGAGATGCATGAGGCTAATAGTCTGCTGCTGCAGACCATTTGAATCAGTCCCATATTCCACACCTGGGACCAAAACAAAACCATCTTTATATCCACAACAGAGGTGTTATCTTTTCTTTCTTCATCAGCATTTACTCTGTTCTAATTCATGCTGTGGTTTTAGTACTTAACCCTCAAACTGATCTTACTTGCTCTCTGTGTCCTCTACCTCTCAAAAAATTTGTCTGTTTGAGGAACCTCATTTAAGGAGACTTCACTAGGGGTTTTGGTTTTATGAAACATGCAATTCCTATGCAGCAATATGATAGCAAAATATTTCCTTTTCCCTTGTATATACTATGCTATGGATGAGCTATACTTTTTATTGATATTTTTATATTAATAAAGTCTTCTCATCTAGATGTAAAAATGCTAATAAAATACCAGATGGAATGAAGAAGGACTTTTGCTCTCCTGGGTTTTTCACTAAGAATTAGGAGAGGAAATGCCATACTCATTTTTGGAAACCTGTGTCACCAGTGGCAGATATATAAGGTTGGCAGCTGTTAGTTTGATGAACACTCCATAGCTTTCCTATGGACCTGAGTAGATGGGACTCATCCTTTGCACACAGTTTTAAACAGTTATGGCATAGTGTTTTAGGAAGCTGTAGAACTTTCTTTTAACCTATTCTATAAATAGTTAATTTTTATCAATATTCACAAAGTAGACAGTATTAAGTGCTGTCTCTAGAGACTACCCTGCTTCCACATGATACATGTTCTATAATACATAATTTGACATGACACAGGCTTCAAGTATCAGCATCAACAAACATTTATAAGAATTTATAATCTAACGATGTTTGATAACTCAACCCATTCTTCATGCTTCTCACCCCTTCAATTTGAAATGTATGACATTTTACAATTGTAGTATTTGACAGACTGTGTTAATACTTATCTCTTAATTTTCAACTCTATTCTTTATCTAGGAAATTGGGTCTGCAAGGTTTTCATCCTCCTTAATCATTTCATGTCGTGATCCTGATCAGAAAAAAAAAAATACACTTAAATTTTGTGACAAGAATTAATTATCTCTTCGTTAACAAGCCTCTGAATCTGCTGTAACACATTTCAGTACGGTCAGAGCTCAGCTCCATCAGCACGAACGCTGCCTGTAACTGAGTGTAATAGTGACCCTCTCCAGTGCACGTCTTCTGACAATTGGAATCTCCTTTTCTGTACCATGACACTTCTCCAGGTCTAGTACCAGTGTCACACCTGCCTTGCCTCACCCACTGCTCAGTCATCATTTCCTTTGCGTGTAATGTTAAAACTATTGTTGCTATTTCTTTACCATCTTCCCCCAAAGGATAAGAAAGTGAAAGGAAGAAGACAAACTGTTTTGTTTGTTTGTTTTCTTTTCCCTCACATTGGCTTGTTTGGGACACAAATAATATATCTTTCTTCTCCTTTTCCTCCCAAAAATTATGTATGAAAAACCATCATAGGGATACTTACATAATTAATCATGATAAACCTAAGAATTGAATTTAAAATATCAGGGCTTAAAGGCCAGTAGGGTTAGGAACCAAGTCTCTGGTTCTTATATTAACTTTTCATAATACTAGGTAAAAGGTAGAAGATCTGTGAAAAGTTTTTTACATGTAAAGTAGGAAGCTTAATGGGTAATGATGAACATCAGTGTAAGGATATGAGTGATGAGCGATAGACAGACAGATGCAGTATCTGACACAGTGGTTATTCTGGAAAAGACAGCTCACAGGATCAGTACCCACAGCCTGCATGTGATTCAGACATCCAGTGTGGAAAGGGTACGACTTACTATGATTAATTTTATATGTGTATAATTCCAACTATATAAGGATTTGTGAGTTCATCT